AAAAAAAAAAAAAAAAAAAAAGAAAGATGTTAAGGTGGGACTTTTTTTGTTTTTATTTTCACTTAAATTTCAACAACACATTTTGTAATTGACTTGAATCTACTATGGAGGAAAGTTTTAATGTAGAAAGTTGTTCTGAAAGGAAACCATGCATTAATGGCATTGATACCATGGTTAAATAGGATCTATTGGCTTCTTGGATAACTCAATCTGCCCAAATAGGGTTTATAATAATGAAAATACTTTGAATTGTGTTAATCATGTTAGAATTTGTGAATTGTTTCATTTTGAGAAGGAAAAGAGCTTAGTCAGCACTTCTATTTATGACAACCCAGGTGATAACTTCTGGCATAAATTAAATAAACATAGCTTTAAATTGAGTACAAAAAATATTATTAAATTTGTTATTTTTACTTTCTAAGACATTAATTGGTATTTGTCAACCCCTCTGTAAAAATATATATAGATGAGACCCTCAGAATTCAAAAACTAATTCATAAAGTATGAATTAAAATTTTTACCCGCTGAGAATCATAGTTAAATAATATATTCTGCTTTATCCTTTTCAGTTCATAAAAATGTGTTTGCTTTATCAAAAATGAGCACATCCTGATTATAACTGAAGCAAAGATCTAAGTAAAAGAAACTTTGAATTTTAGGATATTTGAAATGCAAGTTGGACTATATTTCATTAATATAGATACTGAAAGTGGGTTAACCAAGTACTGCCTATAAAAACAGAGAAGAATTATAATTAGCATTGCAGAGGGAATTTTGCTCTGTTTAGTCCTTAAGCTGATTTATTTTTTGATGAAAGGTTTTGAGACTATATTCCTATTTGATGACTATCAGGACAATAAACTCACTTACCGTTGTGATATCAGCAAGGGGCGTAGGCAGCCCGGATTGGGTGTCAGGACTGGAAACCGGCAGTGATCCAACAATTTCTGTGGGCGAAAAATCACAAGATGTGGGTATATCTTCCTTTTTTCTTTTGTGATTGGGGCAATAAAATAGTCAAGGTTGAAAAATGTGTCAACAGCTAATCTTTAAGGAGCACTATAAGAAAATGGTCATTAATCTAATTAATATATTGAAGGACAAATGTGAAGGGTGCACCTTGCATTCTTATGTGGCCAGAGTAGTTATTATGGTGGGGTTTTGGGGTATTCAGTCTTACTCTACAGATTTGGATGGCTCAATAGCAGGATGGCTATTTGGCTAGACCTGTGGGGATATGACTAAGCTGATAAAAAATAAAGGGCTAGAATAAATACTAGAACTAATGACCATTTGTGAATACCCACTTCTGTCCTAAAGCCTGATTTTCAGATCACCTGCGAGGGCTCAAAAATCACAAACCTACCATATCAGACGAGCTCTGGGATGAGGCTGAAGTTGACCTTTCCTTGTCTATATGTTCCTCCGTCCCTGCTTCCCAAGAGACTTTTATGAAGTTTTCCAGTGTTAAGAGTTAATATGAAACCAATATATAAATAATTACATGGCCACATGAATGATAAAACACAAATATAGTCAGCAAGGGGGAAGAGAGAGTAAGGAGAGGAAAGAGGGGCAGAGGAAGGGTGACTGGAGGGGTCCCACCTGATGTCCACAATGTGAGGGTGTTCAGCACGCCCCCTGGGTGAAGGGCTCTAATATAACTTAAACTTTACCTTCAAAGTGAGAACAATGTAACCTAAAAATTTGTACCCTCATATTAACTTGAAATAACAAAAAATAAAATAACAACAATCAAAAAGAGTCGCCTATCTGATCCAGAAAAACAGAGCTGGTAAAGAGAGAATGACTGGTTCATGTTGTACTGAAATGTCATTTTCACTGTCCACTTGTTTTGCCCTTTCCTGAGTGTAGAGGGCTTCCAGTTTCCTGGGTCCCCCCAGGCAGCCGCTGAGGATGCTGAGGAGGCCTGATTATTTGCTCATTTGTTTGTCCCTTCCTCTCTCTGCTACTTTCTGCCCTGCGAGGTTGACTTAACGTGGTCTATATCAGCGGTTCCTTGCCCTCTGTCTAGGGGATGCTTGGATTATTAGGTAGCCCTTTGGGCCTGGATGTAGCAATGAGGCTTTGCTGCTTCTGGGCCCTAATCCTTTAGTGCAAGCAAACCTTTATAAATAGTCCCTTTATCAAACTCTCCCCAGATTTTCCTAATTTGAATGTGCCATCTGTTTCTTGCTGGGACCCGACCAATTTACTAGATGTGGAAATGTGTTTCGGTTGTGCAGGGGAACTGAACTGTCCATGGTGGTTCTCCCTGCCTGAGATCCACAGGCTGACCATGGTCCATCTGGGCTGAACTGAAACCCTTGAATTCTTCAATTATATCCTTGGTGGTTACCAAAGACTCATCAAATGACACCCAGGTGGGAGCAAGGGAAGACAGATACGGAATCCTATGTGATGTGCCTATCACAGTAATGACTGGCTTTGTAAGGCCCAAGTTGAAATGACAGTTTCCATGAGACCCTCACACTGCCCAGTGCAACCTCCGACTGACCATCAGTGAACTGAATCGCTCCCACATCCAGGGATTGTTCTTGCTCCAGCACTTTGCGGATGAGCTTTTTGAGGTCCACAGCTGAGAGGGAGATTTCAGGTTGCCTGTCCTCCACAGTTCCACGAGGCGCTCCCTCGCTTTCAATTTTGTGGGAATCGAAAGTCAGGAGGTCACTTGCAGGGCTCTTTGGTTCGGTGCTGTCTCTCTTAAAGGTGGCTGTAAGTCGCATCTCTGTGGAGCTTGAACTGTAGACAGCAGAGGACACCCCCAAAACCATTGTTAGACACCTCGTAAAAAGAGTCACTACATTGCTATACAGCTCAGGACAGCTTCCTCCTCTTTCCTGATGGGCCTATCCCACTTTAAAACATTTTAATATTTATCAGAAATTCGAAATGTGAAAATAAAGGAATTGACACCATATTTTAATTCTGAAGTCGAATGCTTACCGGGGAGTTAAGTCCAGCTAGCAGAAGGACTACTAACTGAATCCAGCGACCATAGATTTTTACTTTAGGTCTTGTTGAAAAAGTGTAATTGTCAAGAGTTGCTGGTACTGACCAGTGTTCTCGGTGTTGTGAAGTGATGCATTGCCCATCAGGAAGAAGGATGGACAGTCCTTCCTTGCACAGACCCCCCCCTAGTGTAGAAAATGGCCGTGGGACAATGGACACACATGTAACCAGGTCAAAGCTTCATTTCTTAAGACTATTTCTCTTCTACTTCTGTTCCAAGGAGTATTTTTTAATAAAAAAAATAAAACTCTAAGTGAAACATAACACTCTTTCTCCTCAACCCACTTTTAAAATAACATCTAAGAAGGAAGGTGTGAGGAAAGAGGGAGGGAGGTGATACACATCAACTGTATTTATTACCGTATTTATTAATTCAACGCTTGTTGGCATGTCAAAACGAAACAGGATTCTCTATGCTTCTGTCCTTGGGAATCAGCTTTTGAATTCACGTCATGAATCCACACAGAGGGATATGGAAGTGTTTGAAAGGCCGTGGGAACTGATAATATATGTTTCTGGCAGCTCTTCAGCCCACCCCATCGGTCAGACTGTACAGTTTTTTATTTCACTAGTCAATAATGGAGCAAAAGCTGGGTTCTTATGCCTGAGCTCTCCAAGGTAAAAGGGGTCCTTTGTCTAATTCGCATTGACCTTGGAACCAAGGAGCAAATTAGTCTCTCTGCTTTACTCCAGGCTTAGGTTGGCTGCGTGTACGTGTGTGCGTTCAGACACACAGCTTTCCACCGCCAATGATGTTTAAGAAAGAGCTCAGGCATGCTCGTACTGCAGCCACCTGTGTTTATGCTTTCCTAACGAGACCTGAGTTTTGTAGTATTCTGTCCACCTGACCGAGTCAATGTTTACCTGCTTATCAAGTAGTGGCTTTGACTAGACTGTTTCTTTTCAACTATTGAGTAATTGACCAATTACTTCCACTTAGATAAGAAAGCATCAGAAAGACACTGGCTTATTCCAGACATTATATATAAAAATTATTCGTACAAAACCAGCATTTAAATTGGCAGGGGGAATATGTCGTATTTCAAAACATAAAAAATAAGTCTGAATTACCCATCTTTCTCTTTCTTTGGTCTTCATTGTATCAAACACCATGGAAGCATGCAAGGGAGAAAGAATATTTGTGACATTTATAGAGATAGTCAATGAATTATTTCATATACACGGAAAACCTATTCCCTTTGGTTGTTTCTTTCTTTGCCCCAAATGTTAAAGAAACATTAACATTTAAACTACCATTGGAATTCAAATGGAAATTCTGAGAGCCATTTGAAATTAAACATCATATGTGTTTTTGTTTAGGGTTTCAGCTTTAGTTCAAAGATTATATGGACTTTTGGTGGTCTTTGCAAACTTCTTGATTTCCTCATATTCCTCTTAAAGAGGTTGCAAATATATCCTAGAAATCTTACATTTTGGGTGGTGCTGGTGCCAGGAATTTTTTGGAAAGTGTTTTTTCAATGGATTTCTTGCCTCCCAAATGACATTAAATGATTAGTTTGTTCCTGAAGGTAATTTTCTAAGAAAGAACCCTGGAACTGGGGTTTGTTGTCTGATTATTTTTTGAATAGCTGTGATCAGTAAACTTTAAGGGATTAGTCCAATTCACCTTGGGATAGCTCACAAGAAAAACAACCACCTGCTATGGAGTGGGAGGAGGCACCAGGTAGCTTACATGCGTTCTCACTGGAACTTTTCAAAAACATAATCCCCACTTCACAGACAAGAAGAAGGAACAGAGAGGGAAAGTGGCAGCTGCAAAGTGGCACAGCCAGTACTGAGACCCTGCTCTGCCTGACCTCGAGCCTGGGCTCATTTTGCCACCGCCTACTTGTGCCTGAGAAGAGGCCCTTTGGTCACCAAACTGATGAATACATTTTGCTTTCCTTGGGCATATGCAGAGGGTGCCAAAAAAGTATACAAAGGAAAAACCTTCATTAAAATCATAATACTCAATATGTCCCAACAACAATAAATGAATACAAGTCATGTTTGACCTCTGCAATTACAAGAGGTGCTCAGAGTTCAAGCAATCCACCTGCTTCAGCCTTCCAGCGTGCTGGGATTACAGGTATGAGCCACCTCACACAGCTCCTCCCCTCCTCTTTTATTTGTTTTCAATGTCCATTATACCATGTTATATCCATATATACCCGTTGTTTAGCTCCCACTGATAAGTCAGAATATATGGTATTTGTTTTTCCATTGCTAAGGTTATTCACGTAGGAAAATGGTCTTCAGCACTATCTAAGTTGCTGCAAAAGACATTATTTTGTTCCTTTCTACGGCTGAGTAGTACTCCATGGAATATATTATATATACCTTATTTTATTTAACCACTCATTAACTGATGGGAACTTTGGATGATTCCCCATCTTTAGAATTTGAATTGTGCTGTGATGAACACTCAGGAGCAGGTGTCTTTCCTGAACAATGACTTCTTTTCCTTTGAGTAGGTATCCGGTGGCGTGATGGCTGGATTGAATGGTAGGTCTCCTTTTAGTTCTTTGAGGATTCTTCATACTGTTTCCCAGGAGGTTATACTGATTCACATTCCTACTAACAGTGTATAGCGTTCTCTTTTCACTGCATCCGTGCCAAAATCTGTTGCTTTTTGACTTTTTAATAATGGTGGGCGGCTTCTGTGGCTCAAAGGAGTAGGGCGCCGGCCCCATATGCCAGAGGTGGTGGGTTCAAACCCAGCCCTGGCTAAAAACTGCAAAAAAAAAAAAAAAAAAAAAGGCCATTCTGGTAAGTATATGGTGCTATCTCATTGTGGGTTTAATTTGCATTTCCCTGATTATTAGTGACATTAACCTTTTTTCTGCCATTTGTTTCTTGGCTATTTCTCTTCTTTTGAAAAAAAATTTGTTCACATCTTTTGCCCACTTTATAATGAAATTATTTGTTTTTTTTTTCTTGTTGACTTGAGTTCTTTGTAGATTCTGAATACTTGTCCTTTGTCAGATGTATAGTTTATGAATATTTTTTCCCACTGTGTTGGTTGTCTATTTGCTCTGTTGATTATTTCCTTCCCAGTGCAGAAACTTTTTAGTTTAATTAAGTCCCATTTATTTATTTTCGTTGTTGCTGTATTTGCTTTGGGGTCTTAGTCATAAATTCTTTGCATAGAGCAATGTCCAAAAGAGTTTTTAAAAATATTTTCTTCTAGAATTTTTATGGTGTCAGGTTTTACATTTAAGTCTTTAATTTATCTTGAGTTGATTTTGGTAAGAGATAAGGATCCAGTTTCATTCTTCTACATGTGGCTGCCCAATTTTCCCAGCATCATTTATTGAATAGGGTGTCCTTTCTTTAGTGTATCTTGTCACTTTTATACTAGTACCATGCTGTTTTGGTTTCTATGGCTTTGTAGTATAATTTAAAGTCAGGTAATGTGATGCCTCCAGATTTGTTCTTTGTGCTTAGGATTGCTTTGGTTATTTGGGCTCTTTTTTGGTTCCATATGAAACTTAGGATTTTTTCCCCTAGTTTTGTGAAAAATGATGCTAGTATATTGATGGGAATTCATTGAGTCTGTAAATCACTTGTGTAGTATGAACACTTTGACAATATTGATTCTTCCAACCCGTGAGTGTGGGAGGTTTTCCCACTTATTTGTGTCATCTGTGATTTCTCTCATCAGCATTTTAAAGTTCTCCTTGTAGAGACCTTTTAGCCCCATGATTAAGTACATTCCTAGGTATTTTATTTTCTTCACAGCTGTTGTAAATGGTATTGAGTTCTTGATTTGACTCTTAGTGTGACTGTTATTGGTATATATAAATGCTTCTGATTTAGGTACATTAATTTTGTAACCCGAGAATTTACTAAATTTATTTTTAATTCAAGGAGTCTTTGGGAGGAGGAATCTTTATGATTTTCTAGCTGTAAGACCCTCAGCAAACAGGGATAGTTTGGCCTCCTCTTTTAAGATTTGGATGACCTTTCTTTCTCTTGCCTGATTGCTCTGGCTAGGACCTCTGTATTATGTTGAATAGAAGTGGTGACAGTGGGAATCCTTGTCTTGTTTCAGTTCTTAGAGAAATGCTTTTAACTTGTTCCCTTTCAGTATAATGTTGGTTGTGAGTTTGTCATATACGTCTTTTATTATTTTGAGGAATTTTCCTTCTATGTCTTGTTTATTGAGGTTTTTATCATAAAGGGGTGCTGGATTTTTATCAAATGCTTTTTCTACATCTGTTAAAATGATCATGTGGCTTTGTCTTTAATTCTGTTTATGTGATGAATCACATTTATTGCTTTGCATATGTTGAACCATCCTTGCATCTCTGGAATGAAACCCTCTTGGTCATGGAGAATTCCCTCTTTGACGTGCCATTGAATTTGATTTGCTAGTATTTTGTTCAGGAGTTTGCATCTATATTCACAAGGGATATTGCTCTGTAGTTTTCTTTTTTTGTGTATCCTTTCCTGGTTTTAGTATAAAGCTGATAGTGGCTTTGTAAAATGAGCTGGGGGGATTTCTTCCTTCTTGATGTTATGGAACAGTTTTGCTAGGATAGGTGCCAGTCCTTCTTGGTAGATAAGTAGAATTAAGTTGTCAATCTCTCTGGGTATTTTTTTTAAATGGGAGATTTTTTAAATTACTGCTTCAATCTCATTCATTGTTGATTTGTTTAGGATTTCTATATCTTCCTGATTCAAGCTTGGGAGATGGTATGTTGACAAAATTTTACCCATTTCCTCCAGATTTTCTAGCTTGTTTGCATAGTGGTTTTTGAAGTATTATCAGATGGCATTTTGCATTTCTGTGGTATCAGTTGTAATGATTGAAACTTATTTGAATTCTTTCTCTTCTATTCCTTATTAATCTAGATAGCAGTCTATCAATTTTGCTAATCTTTTCAAAGAACCAAATTTTTGTTTCATTCATCCCTGTATTGTTTGTTTGTTTCAGTTTTGTTTAGTTCTGCTCTGATCTTTGTTATTCCTTTTCTTCTAGCTTGGGTTTGGTCTGGTCTTCTCTCTCCAGTTCCTTGAGGTGGGACATTAGGTTATTAAATCTGGGATCTTTCTGTCTTTCTGATGTGGCATTTAGTGCTATGAACTTCCCTCTTAGCACTGCTTTTTTTGTATCCTAGAGATTTTTGGTAGTTGTGTCATTTTTGTTGTTCAATTTGAAAAGGTTTTTTTAATTTCCATCGTGATTTTGTCACTGACCCAGCAATCGTTTAGCAGCAGGTTGTTTAATTTCCATGTATTTGTGTAGTTTTGACAGTTCCTCTTGAGGAATTGAGGTCTAGTTTTATTTCAGTGTGGTCTGAGAAAGTACATGACATAATTTCATTTATTTTTTTATTTATTTCAGATTAACATGAGGGTACAAACGATTAGGTTACATTGCTTGTGTTTGTTAGGTAGCGTCCGGGTCATAGTTGTGTCCCTCACCCAGGGACATACCCATCTATTGTGCTTGTTAGGTGAGATCACACCAGATTTCAATTTTTTAAAAATTTGCTGAGACTTGTTTTGTGGCTTAACCTTGGAAAATGTTTCACGTGCTGATGAGAAGAATGTATATTCCACAGGTAATGTGTTCTGTAAATATCTGTTTACTGATTCATTTTCTTTCACTGGAGATCAATTTTTATTTTCCACACATGGAATCGTACTTTCACTTGTCTTCTTTCACTCAAGACAGATATTTTGGGATGTACCCATGGTGCTGTGTTTTCCAATATTTCCTTCCTTTGTTAAGAAGGAGTCTATAGTGAGAACATGCTACAACTTGTTCTTCTATTGCACTGTGATGGATTTTTGGGTTGCTTCTGGTTCTTGCCTATTACAAATAAAGCTGCTATGAGCACTTGTGCACAAGTCATTGAAGGAGTATACCCTCCAATTAGATTAAATGTTTGTTAATAGTTTTCTACTTTTGCTGTAAGAGATAAAATAATATTTAAAGTGTATCTTTCACTGTTCATACTCATAATTTTGTTAATAATAGATGTCTTAACTCCTCAGTTACATTGAGAGAATCAAATGAGGTCACTGATATAAAGGTACTTGTTAAATTGTAAATCAGCCTTTACAGAAGTGAGCTGGAGGAAAGACAGTAGCAGGAGATTCACAGGCTTTTAGATCTGTGAGTATCTGGCCCCACAAGAAAGCAATCTTCTTCACAATAAGTTTACTTTACAATATTCTAAGCATTGTTATGAATGTTCAAAAGTTTGCCATCCTCATAAACTTATCATTTATTGTACTCAGGGGTCAAGATACATTCTGGTTGACAAAGTCTTCATGTCATAATGAAAATCATTGGGAAAATGTGATCAAACTTATAAGCATCTTAGGTAAAAATAAGAATTAATCCATATGGAGATAAACACTTGGGACAGAATCAGCTTCAAGGGATATATCTTTAAAATCTAACCTTGCAGAATTTCATCACCTAATGATTTGGTTTTCTTCTGAAATAGATTTTTAAAAAAATTAGATTTGCATTTCTTGAAGAGAAGGAATAGTGAGCATTTGAATCTTCACCAAGAGAACTGTTCCTATCATTTCCTTTAGCTCTAAATTAGAAATTTGTTCTTTAACTGCAGTGGTTTATACAGAAGACCTTGCCACCTATGTAAAATATTTTCCTATCAACACTTATTTTTCTCTCATCCATCTGATTTCACATGGAAAGAAAGGAAAATGAGTTTGCTTTAGTATATGTCAAGTGTTTCATCTTCTATAACTGTTACTTTTTGGTATTTCCATTCTCTGGAGTTACATAAATCAGAGGGGCCTAATAGCTTTGGAAGAAACAAACACCAGGAGAGCTTCCCCACAGCGATTTTTTCTGCGTCTGTGGAGCCCCCGCACTGTGCACCTTCTTGCCTTGAGAAGGAGCGGGAAGACTTCTGGTGAGACTGACAAGCCCCTCTCAGGGCATGGGGTCTCACTCAGCTCACACAAGGGCTGATATTTATTCTGTGGCACGTTTGAAAAAATACCATATTATGACCCCACGTGTGTATGTTTTGAATAATGAAAACTTAAAATGTAAAAGGTTTTTCCAGAATCATGAACCCACATTAGTGTTGGGGTTCTGCTGGACACAGCAAGCCTGCCTGTAGTGTGGCACTATTTTATGATTTTCTTTTATTTAAAATTTTAATTCAATAATTTTTGAATGGGAACACATTACTATGGTTTGGACATCAATATCAAAGGTGTATTTGGGGGAGTCTCGTTTCCCTTCCTGCTTTTGTCCACTTCGGTTTTCCGGCTCCCCTACCCCGCTAGGGACCATTTTTTATTAGGTTCATGTGTCTCCCTTTGGGCAGTGTGAGTTGTTTAAATGGTGATGATATTTAATGTTCGTAGGAAACCAGGCAATCAGACACCAAGACAAATGCCACTTTTTGGGATCTGTCTCTCCCGAGGCATTTTCCTAAGAGTTTTTTAAATAACAACATTGGCGGGGACAGCAGACAAACCCTCTGCCGAGAGCAGTATCTGGTTCCCGTAAGGAGGAAGGAATACAGCTTCTTCCTACCTCTCAAAAGTTACCCAGACTTCTGTGCTAACCAGACAATTTCTTTACCTGTAACATATTCAGTCTGCAGGATTTGGCAAAGCTAAACAATTGTGGAAAAGGAAATTCATAACCCTCATGATACTGCTTTTAAGAAGAGGATAGGAAGAGAATAATTTAAAAGTTAAGGGGAGTCTGATTCTCTTACTTACCTAAATCCTAACACATGGATCTTTTTGAATCCTGGAAGTTTCTTGAATACCTTTTGCATCTGCAGAGAGAGAGAAATTTTTTGAATATTCTTTGGTTCTACTGGGTCAGATCTTCACCCAACTGGAAAAAGCCTGAATGGCTTTGATGAGTTAGGGGAAAACTGGAAATGAAAACTGAAATGATGAACTAAGAAAATGACATGAAGGCTGTGTTAACCAGTTGGATGAAAGTATTTCAGATTGTATATAGAAACAGCACTCTGTACCCCATGATAGTACTAACGTACACAGCTATGATTTAATAATAAAAAAAATCTTAGTTTTCTGTTACTTCTGAAACTCAGGGGAAAATATTTTGCTATTTATTTAAAAGCTGCAATTAGGTAGTTCTGACCTGCTTTGATGATTACATACAATATGAAATAACTTCAAGGTACCGTTTGGAGGAGAATCATTTAGCTATAGGATTTTCACTTACATACATAGAGTAATAATATTTTCTGAGTATAACTATCCACAGTTAACTCTAATATTTTAACCACAATATTTTCTGAATTCATTATATGATGTGGAAAATATCTATAATGGCAAAGGGACTACTACATTCAACATGGCTGCTGCACATAAGTAAAATGGTAGAAACAGATTCCCATCTCATAGACTGGATTTCTTCTTAGATTCATGGGGGGCCTCAGGAAATCTTCTGAATTAATTTGACCTTACTGCTGCGGCTGTCACCAGAATACTTGACAACTGCCATACCCAGCAGCCTCCTTGCCCACCACAGCCTGGCTTCTGCTCCTGGTTCTCTGCAAGCCACTGTCTCTGCAAATGCAGTGGCATTTCCCACTCGTTCCCACAGCGTCCCTGGTCTTCCTTGGTTTTTCTTCCATCCCTCTGACCAACCTCTCGGTCTTCTTAGCTCACTTGACTCCTTTTTCCACCCTTTGCTTTAAACATTAGGAGTCTGCAGGTTGCCATCCTCAGCCTCCTTGCCTCGCCCACTCCCATTTACTCCTTAAGTTTGACTGTGGGCCCTGTGTGAAGCCCTGGGGATACGGCACGTAGGCCTGCACTGCCCCACCCGGCTTTCCCGTTGGGAGGCAGGGAGGCCGGAGAGATGAGGGGGAAGGGCCAGTGATCTGGTGGTGAAGCTTGGAGGGCAGAGCAGGGTAAAGGGGGAGGCTGAGCAGGTGAGCGGACACCAGGCCCTGTCCTCTCGTCCTTGTCCCCTCTCTACTCTCCCTCCTGCTGGGGGGTCTCATTTTCTCCCTTGGCTTCAGTAATCACCTGACACACAGCTTCTGCAGGAGTATTTCAACATTTACCACTAAATAAATTTGCCCCAACCAGAGTCATTCTGGTCCTCTCAGATCTGCTTTTTGTCCTAGCCTTTCTACCTCAGGGCGATGAGCATCCAACTTCTTCCATGCCGCAAAGCCCGGCGTCTCTAGAAACCTTTTCTCTATGGCCTCTCCCAAGGCAGCCACCAATTCCTACTGGTCCAAATCCGCCAGCATCATCCGTGCTTACCAGGCCCTTCTCACGTGCAGGGCCAGTGCTCTCTCAGCCCTTGTCACGTGCAGGGCCAGTGCGCTCTCAGCCCTTGTCACGTGCAGGACCAGTGCTCTCTCAGCCCTTCTCACGTGCAGGGCCAGTGCGCTCTCAGCCCTTGTCACGTGCAGGGCCGGCACATTCTCTCAGTCTTTCTTACACTCAGGGCCGGCACACTCAGCTCTCTTCCTGCACCGCTGAAATGGGATTATGAGTGTGGGTGGCGGAGGAGGGCAGAAGAAATGGCTTTCTGGGCGTGTGGGCAAGGGAGGCGGTCTCTCCCTGAGTGGAATCTTTGCTGAGGGAATCATTCCATATTCTGTTGCTCTTTGCTAAACATCCCTTGCTGGGCTGTGCTGCCTGTTGAACAAGGCCCAATTCTTTAGAACGGCATTTAAGACCCTATGAAATCTGCACACTCACACCTCTCCCCCAAGGTGCCTTATTACTACGTCTACACTCCGTGTCATCAGTATCCCCTTGGCCGATAGCACACCCTCCATCGACACTAAACTGACCCGTGTCCCTCCCCACGTACAACTCGCGTGTCTATTTCACCAGCGTCCTGTGAACTATTTCCCTTAGTCCAAGATGCATTTGCTCATTGGCCGCCTCCCCAGCGCCCATTTTCAAAGCCAGCGCAAACATCTTCTCTACTGAACAGCACTTGCAAGGGGCCCATGGCCAGTTATTTCAGGTGTTTTCCTCTTACTACTCTAGAACTCACCGCAGCATGCCCACAAAAGGCTGTGAGGCACATTTCCGTTCCCCCACTGAGGTGATGCACTTGGCCTCGGGGGCTGGCCTTGACTCAGTCAGCTCTGTTGCCCTCCCACTTTCCTGGTATCCAGCAGATTATCATTCTCGCAGTGGGGACTCGGCAAATTTCAGCTGAGCTGACTGCGTCTCTTTGTTCTCTAAACTCATCAATATGCCACTGTGTTGTCCCTGAGCTGAGATAAACGCCAATTCTGCGCTGTTGCACCAAGGCCTGGAGCAGCGACGCACAGACAGTCCCCAGTCACCTGCACTGGGCTCTGGAGCACATCCTGAACGGTTTGTCCCCAGCTGACTGATTTGCCTTCTAATTGCATTTTCTTGTGCCAACACTAAAAATAGTTTTCATTCCTTAAAGGAACTGCCATGATGATGGCAGGCTCCCTTTTTGGGTGACAAGGAGATACTTGTGGAGGCCGGCCTGGGTTTAAGTATCTGTTTTAATACTTTCTAGTTGCAAGACTTTGAGTATTGCTGAACGTTCTGAGACTTGGTCTCCTTAGCCAAAATGGAATAACAATACCTACCCTATAAGATTGTCGTAAGGAATAACTAGCAAGTAAGAAGTGCCTGGCACACAGGTGGGCAGGGAGTCGGCGATCTGGTGTCATTGCTTGTTTACTCCCCACCTCTCCTCCTGGACTGCTGGCTGCTGAAGGCCGGGCTTTCTCTTACTTCCCCTAGTGACCACACAGCACAGAGCCTGGCAAGGGCAGGTCAAATCTTCAGGTGGTCATGTTCGAAAGACATAGTGAGGGGAAGGACAAGATGAAGGCCTTATAGAGGTTGGGGCAGGGAACCTGGGTAGGAGGTTTCTTAAGTCCCTATCCACAGCCGGTCATGGGCTCAACAGAGAAGAACTGGGAGGTGGGGCTCTACTGAGCTGGTTTTTACTCTGTGATCTGGTGGGAAGGGCTCTGTACACCTTCAGGCATGCCCTAGCCTTCTGGGACAAACAGCTTTGGGACCACTGGGAATTTGTCATGCCATTCCAGTGATAGCACCCAGAACCGAGTGTGTAAGTATGTGCTGCAAATTCTTTTTTTTTTTTTGGAGACAGAGTCTCACTATGTCGCCCTTGGTAGAGTGTTATGGCATCACAGCTCACAGCAACCTCAAACTCTTGGGCTTAGGTGATTCTCTTGCCTCAGCCTCCTGACTAGCTGGGACTACAGGCGCTCACCATGATGCTGGTTATTTTTTGGTTGCAGTTGTCATTGTTGTTTAGGAGGCTGGGCCGGGCTCCAACTCACCTGCCGGGGTGTATGCACCCTGTGCCCTACTCACTGAGCTACTGGGGCTGAGCCTGAGCTGCAAATTCTGTAGGAGATTCAGCCCCTGAATCATCCCCCTCTCATGTCTGGGATTCTATGCAACTCATCCTGGGCTATATGCATGAAAACAGTCAATCAAGCACAGAATTGCCTCCTTAGAGGTCTGCAGCATCAGTGTCCCCAACTGGAGGCACCGCTGGGACCTGCTCCCCTCTCCTGGTTGGCGTGGAGGGGAGTTGTCGCTCCTTTCCCCGCCCCTTTGTGAACCCGTCTGCCATTGATTAAGAATCAGCTTTGCTTAGGAGTGTAGTTGAGAAGGCATCTAGGGAGAGGATGACAAAAGCCTCAGTTAATTGTGCTAAATAAGCTTCTGGGGACCTTCCACTCACGGGGCACTAGCCACTAAATTGCTAATTAACCTTATTAATAACGCTAAATGCACAGGGCCTCCCTGATTCTGCCAGAATCTAAGTTAACGGGGCTGTAGAAGCACAGCCCGTGTTGAGTCCTCATAATGTTTGCACAGTAGAAAGCGTCCTGACAACAACTAAGCGATTCCTTTTGACATTTGTATTAAATTGCTCATTAGGCTTATTGTGGAAATTAAATTACCACTAAGCACTGTCCATTAATTTCTGATTAGTCCCAAATGGCTGTGCTGAGCTAGGCGAGGGGCTGTGGCAGGGCGGACTGGTTATTCGAGGGCAGGTTGGGGGGCAGTCGGGGCCCCGCTGGGAGACTGGAGAGGGACAGCTGCTGTGAGCAGAGGGGCTCCGTCTGGGAGGAACCGGTGACTGTGCACGTGGAAGCAGCGGGAACCGTGACTGTGTACATGGCACCAGGCTGGGCGAGACAGACTCTTCTTTGGCTAATACGTTTTTCTGAGTCCAGAAGGGGCTTACTGACTTAATGATGACACGATAGTTATTTACTCAAAAATACATATTTGGGAATAATAGGAAACTCAGCACTGTGGTTAGGAGTGTTCTGGGACCAGGCTGCATGGGTTGGAATCTTGGCTCTGCCAAATAATAGGTGTGTTATCTGGGCCTGTTAATCTCCTTGTGCCTCAGTTTCCTCTTTTAAAAAGGGGAATAATATTACTTACAGGATTGCATGAACAATTAAGCAAGTATATATACATACATAAGAATTAAGAGCAGTGCCTGCCATTCTTTCTATACATAGCAGTTTAGAGTTGGAAAGGGAGTGTAGGGTCATCTTCTGTAATTTCTATATGAGGAAATTAAGGCCAGGGAAAACTGGTGTGCCCCAAATTCTCATGGCAGATTTTTGGCAGAAACAGGACTAGCATTCAGGTTTTTAAAAAGCCTCAGTGTATTTGGATTATTCTACATCACATTGTTTTAGGGGCTTAGAAAATTGATAACAAGTCGGTAAAGAGTCTGCATCCAATTATCCAACTTTGAAGATCCTTCAGCTGCACTAAGGATTTGCTGGAAAGAATGTTTTAAAGGAAAATACGGAAAAGTTAACAAGCTATTCTTTAATTCATTTTATCTAATAATCCATGTCCAAGTGCTTCTCTGGTTCATAAACACCGCAGGCTGATTCTTTCTCTTTGAAGTTTTTAGAAAGGATTCTTTGCATTTTATTGACAGAGCGCTGCTGCAGGGGGAGGTGGGAGGTTAGGAGGGTTTCATTTCTTCATCTCTCCAGGTGAGAGAAGGTGTGTTTTAAGTTCTCCAAGCATGAGAAGTGGGGCCTGTTTTCCCCCACCAGTGCTGAGTGAGATCGAGTTTGTGGTTATGTAATCTCATGGATGCTTCAGTTTTCAGTTGCATTTATGGAAATAACTGCTGAGTGGTTAACTGCATCTCAAGCTCTGTATTAGGACATTAGGCTTCAGAGATGCTTTCAGAGAACAGACTCTGCTCTCAAGGGGAAACTTACAGCCTTAAAAAGAGGAGTCTCTGCTCTCAAGGGGAAGCCTACAGCCTTCAAAAGAGATGGCAAAGGCCATAGATATGTGAAAAAGTAATCTCGAGACAGGATGATTAGTGTGGTACCAGCAGTGGGCATCAGGTATTAGCAAGCCCAGCAGAGAGGTGCTCAACCCAGAATGGCAGAGGGAACTTTCCATGATGAAGTACCTAAAATGAGGCTTGAGGAAGGGGCATTTCAGACAGAGGGGGCAGAACATGTAAAGGGTAAGAGTCAGGAAAATTTGCAGAGTTTGTACTTCTGGAAGCTAGTAGTGTAAAGGAGGGGAGTGACAAGGAACCAGTATAAAATGAGGCTGGAAAGGAAGGCAGGGGTCATATCACAGTACCGAAATGCTGTGCTCAGCAAAGTGGTTGGATTTATCTTGCAGCGGGTTGAAGAGTAGTTGAATTTGATCAAGGAGAGACATACGATTATGGTCAGAGACGGAGGAGACATAGTGGAAAAGCTGCTCGGTTTAGTAATTGATAACATGGACAATGGAATTGCCCTCCATCTATCACCCAGAAAAAGTAGCATGTATCAAACTGCAAAAATGAAAATATTATGTAAAGAAAAAGTATTATGCCATGGAACATCATGCAGCCTTAAAGAAAGATAGAGACTTTACCTCCTTCATGTTTACATGGATGGAGCTGGAACATGTTCTTAGCAAAGTATCTCAAGAATGGAAGAAAAAGTATCCAATGTACTCAGCCCTACTATGAAACCAATTTATAGCTTTCTTATGAAAACTATAACCCAATTATAGCCCAAGAAGAAGGGGAAAGGGGAGAGGAGAGGATGGGTGGAGGGAGGGTGATTGGTGGGACCACACCTACAGTGCATCTCACAAGGGTACATGTGAAACTTACTAGGTGTAGAATATAAATGTTTAAACACAATAAGAAAATGCTGTGAAGGCTATGTTAACC